CAGCGCCTCCGCCCGCCGGGGTTGTGTCCCCCCCTCACACACACACGTACACCGGCGGTGGGGGGGGGCGGCCCTTCCGCCGCCTCAGGGCCGCCGGGGCGTTCCGCAAGCGCCTCCGCTCCCCGCCACACGTTCCCCGGCGGGATGCGACACGGGGCGGGGAGGAGCCGCCCGGCCGCTGCCTGCGGGGGCTCCTGGCGCTCTTAAGGTGGCCCCGTGTGGCGGGTGCCAGGGGCCCGGCCCGGCCCTGCCCTCCCCTGCGGCGGGAGGGGAGCCGGCCCTGTAACCTGGGGGGGTGTCTGTGTGTGGGGACGACTGTCCCGGGGGAGGTCAGGCCTCGCCGAGGTACCGGCGGCCGACATGGCGTCAGGCCGTGGCTGCCTGGTGTGAGGGCGGCGTGCAGGGCTCTGAGGGAGGGCCGTGAGCCCGGCTTGCTGTCAGGGGAGGAGGAGGCCGCTCTTGGCTTTATGTCCCGGGAGATAAGAGAGGGTCAGGGGAGGCTTCCTGCTGCGGGGATGGGGAGCCCTCACACAGTGGGAGACAAAGCGTCTGCCTTCACCGGTGTCCAAAGCCGGGCCAGCTACTGAGGAGGCTCTGGGGAGACCTAACAGCAGCCTTCCAGTACCTGAGGGGACTACAGGAAGGCTGGGGAGAGCCTGTTTACAAAGGCCTGCAGTGGCAGGACGAGGGGCAATGGCTTTAAGCTGGAGAAGAGCAGATTTAGATTGGAGATTAAGAGAACTGTGAGGGTGGTGGAGCACTGGAACAGGTTGCCCAGGGAGGTGGTTGAGGCCCCATCCCTGGAGATATTCAAGGTGAGGCTCAACGAGGCCCTGGGCAACCTGGTCTAGTTGGGGGTGTCCCTGCTGACTGCAGGGAGGTCGGACTAGATGACCTTTGGAGGTCCCTTCCGGCCTGGACCATTCTATGATTCTAATGTATCCCTGGATGCTTGTCCAAGCTTTGAAACTCCTGAGCTCCTGGCAGGTCCCGTTGGCGCTGGTAGAGGCGTAGGGTATGCGTCCTTTCTTGTAGTCAAGATGAAAGCACCCATTTTCAAACCGCCATTGATGGTGTAAGACACATCATTACGTGGGGTCTACCCTGGAAAGGGGGCAGATGCATTATTTCCATGTAGAATCATAGAATGAATCATAGGATCATGGTTAGAGTTGGAAGGGACCTTGAAGATCATCCAGTTCCAACCCCCCTGCCCTGGGCAGGGACCCCTCCCACCAGACCAGGTTGCTCCAAGCCCCATCCAGCCTGGCCTTGAACCCCTCCAGGGATGGGGCAGCCACAGCTTCTCTGGGCAACCTCTTCCAGTGTCTCATCACCCTCACAGCAAAGAAGCATGTAGTACTCCGAGAAACGATTCAGGGGACACAACATGAGCAACTACAGTAACTTATATATATATTTACATATAAATATATATTAAAAATACATTTTTCTGGGTAAAAAAGTGCTTTGGAAAAAACCCCACAAACCAACCACCAAACCCCACTCGGCAAGAAAAATATGGTAAGCTACCTGTATGTTACATGGGACTGCTGAGATGCCTGTTTACTACTAGTTGCAAATGGAAGGAACAGTCCTTCAGCCAGGATGTGGAAGAGAGTTCCTTCCCAAATACCGTAAGTTTCAATGTCCTAACTGCCAAAAACCAAAGCCACCTCCCACACCTTCCTGGATACCAGAAGCCCCAACTGCCCGCTACCCATCTGTCAGAATTTATAGCTTCCCCTAGACAAATATTAACAATTCAGTCATGCACAAAGCCAGTGGCATCTTGAAAAATTGGGAGAAGGATAAAATACGTTGAATGTAATGTAAAAATAAGTTATGTGGTGACTAGTTTACTTTTTTTTTCCACGTCTCCATCTGCTAGCCCTGTCTTCTACTTCAGCTTGCAAAGGCTTTGGGATGAATCTCTTTGTTCTCTGAATGCTAAATATTATAATGGGGTCACGATCTATTTGCTTTTGTGCGTTTCTGCAACACCAATTCTTTGGCCTGCGCCCCAAAGGTGGGGTTTTTTTTTGTGTTAGATGGCATTTTTGTATTTATGTTCTTTCAAGTGGTGGAATAAGTTAGTTACATCGTTCGTGTTGGGTTGTTTTTTTTTTTTTTGTCTATAAAAAGCAAGAGAATATTTCAGACATTCGTTTGGGGTAGAGAATCCTGAAAACCAAAAGGAAGAAGAAATGGGGAATACACGTTGGATGCCTGGCACGTGTCAAGTCTAACCGCAGTTTTCAAACACCTCTGCAGTTGGCTGTAGATCAAACAACTCGCAGATACCACCCGTCAGTGCCTCCCAGCACAATTAGGCTTCTCAGTCTTGTCTCTCAGGAGAGTTAAGAGAAGCCTATGTACGGTATGGACACAAATCCTAGCTAGAAGGAACTGGAGAACTTGATGTGAGAACAGCAGGGAGACCCAAAACCCACCTAGTCCAAAGAGGAGTCCAAGGAGAAGCAGAAGGCCAAGGGAACTGAAGCTGCGTAGCCAGGACTGGAGCAAGACTTGGGGGAGGGACAGAATAGGACAGAGCTCTGCTGTGGCCTGTGGAGGTGGAAGGGATGGTTGTTGGCCCTTGGTAATGATTAGGGACACTGTAATAGGATCTCCAATGAGATAATAATATGGGAAAAGGAGCAGGAAACCCTCCTTGGCAGGGAGAAGAACAAGTAGTAGCACAGGGAGTAGCGCGGCCAGAGTTGCTGGCATAGGAGCAGAAGAAAGTTTTGGAGTGGGAGAAGAGCACACAGAGTGTCCTAAGAGCATGGAGGTTGAGCGTTCATTCTTGTGACTTCCGAAACCAAGGCATGGGGCTTTTGCCCTGTTGAAGGAATGCAAGGAGTTGCTGCAGGTTCAACAGTAAACTGAGCTGTGTGAGAGCAGCAAGACTTAAACCACCTCCTCTACTATCAGACCATTTTCTGTATTAGTTTCCAGAAGAAAAAAAAAAATAAATCACTCAGAAAATGCCATTTTCTCCCAGCGTGTGTCCTATCCTCTATTCTAAGCCTTACCAGCCATGTTACTGTTTGGGGGGATGCAAATGTGAAACTACCCACAGAACGAAGAGATTATCAAATACAGGGCATCTTTCAGATAACCGGGGTGGGGACCTTGAGGGAGGCTCTTTCATGGTCCTGCATTTCAGATTTCCATGTAGAAGTGGCCTGCCTACGGCACTGGCCTCAGATGTGGGGGGATCTCAGGTAGGGGATGTTCTTTCTCACACACATTTTGGGAGTATCTGATCTATCTAGTTTACTTCACCACACAGTCCCCTTTCATGAGGTAAAATAACAAGGTTGCCTTGTTCTGTATCCCCAGGAACTAGTCTTGGAACACACTGGCACAAGACTCCCGGTTTTCAGCCAACTGGGTGGAAGTGGGACAACATTGTATGTCCTTCATGGGGTTTTCTATATGGTTTTGGCTGGTTACAGAATCACAGAATTGTTGGGAGTTGGAAGGGACCTTCTAGAGATCATCTAGTCCAACTCTCCTGACAAAGCAGGGCTGCCCAGAGCACATCACTCAGGAGCATCCAGGCGGGGCTTGAAGATCTCCAGAGAAGGGGACTCCACACCCTCCCTGGGCAGCCTGTTCCAGGGCTCTGCCACCCTCACCCCAAAAAAGTTCTTCCTCAGATTGGAGTGGAACTTCCCAGCTTGTGCCCGTTGCCCCTTGTCCTCTCACTGGGAACCACTGAAAAGAGTCCGGCTCCATTCTTCCTCAAACTACGCTTTAGATACTTGTAGGCATTGATAAGGTCTCCCTTCGGCCTTCTCTTCTCCAGACTAAAGAGTCCCAGCTCTCTCAGCCTTTCCTCATCAGGGAGATGCTCCAACCCCTCCATCATCTTTGTAGCCCTACGCTGGACTCTCTCCAGCAGTTCCCTGTCTCTCTTGAATTGGGGAGCCCAGAACTGGACACGGGATTCCAGTTGTGGCCTCCCCAGTGCAGAGCAGAGGGGGAGAATGACCTCCTTTCACCTACTGGCCACTCTTCCCTACACAGCCCAGGATCCCATTGGCCCTCTTGGTGACCAGGGCACATTGCTGCCTCGTGGATGGTTTACACTCCACCAAGACCCCTAGATCCTTCTCCTCAGAAGTGCTTTCCAGAAGGTCCATCCCTAAACCGTATTGGTGCCTGGGGTTCTTCCTCCCCAGGTTGGAGAGATGGCGATGAGACTTTAATGGGGTTGCAGCAGAAACCGCCTCTAAAGATTTGGGGGGACGTTGACCACCAGAGGTCATTGACAATCACGAGGGGTGAGGGATGACTACCAGCGATGGACAGCTGAATTTTTCTGGGGGGTGGGAGAAGACTGAGCGCCCCGGGCTGGAGCAGGGCACAACCGTAGGGTGGCCGGCAGGAACGGGGCCGGTCGCCCCGAGAGATGAGACCCACCGGGGCGGGTGTGGGGGGGCTGCCCGACCCACGCGGCCATTGGGGAGCAGCGTGCGGGGCTGGGGGCGATGCCCGGCGGGCGGGCGAGCGGCTGTTGCAGGGGGTGGCCCAGCAGCTGCCGCTGCCGGTAGAGGCCTGAAGGGCGAGGACCCCCTGGCCGGCGGCTACTTCCAGGGTGAATCGAGCCCCCAGGGCGGGGAAGGCCGCGGGCTCCGGCCGGTCCAGATGGAGCAGCCCGGCTCCCCCGGGCGGAGCCGGGTTCTCCCTTCCACCGGATAAAGCGGCCGCGGCTCCCCCAGACCGGCGCCTCCTTAACCCGGGGAGGCGGGGGCGGCCGCGGCCGGGGGGAGCCGGGAGAGGCGGAGCGGAGGCCGGGGAGGAGCCGGGGCCTGCAGTGGAGCCGCAGCCCGGAGCAGCAGCCGCGGGAGCGGCGGGGCCTGAAGAGACTCAGCGCCGCCCGGCCGGGGCCCCCCTCCCCGCACCGGAGGCCGGGGAGCCCCTCGGGGACGAAGCCGAGGCCCGGCGGAAGGCGGCGGAGGCGGCCGC